TGCCTGCCAGCTCTTCCCATGATCCTTCATGTTCCCTCTGGGTTCTACTTTCTGCACTGACCCATACAACTGAGACCCTCCTGTCTGCTGATCCCCATCAGCTCTTGGTTGTTCCGTGTGCTGCTGCAAGGACATGTCTGCCTCATGGTGGCAGCAGCAGTGTCCCTGAGCATGCTCCCAGCCTGGAAGGATGGGAGCTGGAGGAGGTTGCTCTAGGGGTGCCCCCTGCAGTCACTCTTGAAACCTCATTTTCCAGCTGGAAGTGACTAGAGAGGCTTCACTGCCTAGTTTCCAGGTTGACCCAGTGGGAATGGGCAGGTGTGGCCTACTCAGGGATGTTACTGCTGGGACATGCTGGGGGTGCAGTGTGCACTTTAGCTAGCAGTGGCCTGTGCCTGGTACTTCCAAAGGCATCTAAAGTCCTTTCTCTGAGCTCCTAATTTTCCTGTGTGTGTGCATGTGCACAAGAGAATTTTTTCCCAACTCCTGTTGCAGTTGGCAGATGCTCCTCAAACCTGAGGTTAGCCAGCCCTATATCTTAGCACATGACTAGATTATTGCAGCAAGCCCTGCACAGCTCTTTTCTCTGCCTGGCTGGCTGTGACCTCTTGCAGCCTCTCCATGCTGCATGGAGAAAGACTTGGTACTTGGGCATCAGAGACCAAGCTGATCCCCTAGGTTCTACCTGCTGGGGCCAGCACAGGACTGATCCTGGTGGGAGAGCCCCTGAATCTGACTGGCAATTGGGATGGAAACAGTGAGATAAGGTACAGCAAGCAAAATGGTTCTGCAGCCTGAGCCTTTGTCCTCTCCCTTGTCAGGTCTGATCACCTATTCATTCCCTTCCTGATCGCTCATCCCTGTGTTCTCTTAGAGGCTTCCCCAGTTGGTTGGTGTGGCCTAGGTGTAGTGACACAAGGAACTGTTACAGCCAGTCCACTGCCTGGCCCAACCTTGGTCTTTCTCTGAGTGCCCCAATGGCTAATGGATCCTCTGTGCTGCCTGCAGGAGAGATGCAGGGGACAGTGCACCGCCTGCTGCTGGAGGAGAGGTCGAGTGAGCTGAAGGCCGGTGCAGTGCTTCTCCTGAAGCAGGTACAGAGCTATGGCGGGGTGGGGGGCCCAGTGTTGGTATTGAGGGCATCTGCTGTGGAGATATTTCCTCCTCAAAAGCCAGTCACTATGGCAACAAAGGTGCTTTCTGGGTTCCTGTTCTGGGGAGTGGGTCTAACAAAGAGCCTGTTGCTCCCCTGCTTGGAAGTGAGAGGCATGTGCAAGTTCAGCCATCTCTTACTGCCCTGGTACCCTGAGAGGAAGGATAGGAGGGGACAGGGTGTCTTGGTGCTGCTTTTTCCCCAGTGAAATGCCCTGTGGACAATGACAAGTTGTTCTCCACCCTTCCATCTCTGCTTAGAGGCCAAAGACTAAATAAGCCGTGGACTGAACTCTCCACCCTCATTGGCTGGGATGGCAGGGAAGTCATTTCATGAGCCCCACTGTGCCTGGTCTCTGGATCAGGGCTTCTGCAGTGTTGCCAGTTGCTTCTCACAGAGGCTTCTGAAATCTGTGAAGCATTGTGCAAGCACTGATTCTTCTTCTCATGGCCTCTGCCCACTTCTGCTCCCATGGGCTGGGCCAATGGCAGAGACGAAAGAGCCCTGGTAACACGGGATATGGCTGTCTGCTGCTGTAGGTAGGGGTGTTCTCTCCATCCCACCGCAACCACTACCTCAATGTGACGCCCAACAACCTGGTGAAGATCTATCCACTAGAACTGGGGGAGAAGAGCCCTTCTCAGCTGTCGCAGGAGCCCGAGGACAAGAGAGGGGGGCCAGTGCCGGCATCCTCAGAGGTACAGTGTAGCTTTGTTGTACAGCAGGTGGGGTAGCTACTGGAGTGGGTGGTAACAGTTCCTGCAAGTGCATAGAAGTGTTATGCTCAGAACCCGAGTACGGCTTGGAGCTGAGCTGTGATCCAGCTAGGCGGAGGGGCAGGTTTGCTGGCTGGGGAAGAACAAGATGATCCAGGGGCTTAGTGTTAGGATGGGGAAGACATGCTGAAGTGGGACACCAGGAAATGGGAAGACTGGCCTGATTCTGTGTTTCTGACTGCAAAGAAAGGGAGAGTTCCCTGAAGCTCAACTACCTGGCGTTTTTGTAGGGCCAAAGTCTACCTGAATTCCAGCCAGAGCCTTCAGCTGCTGTCCCAGGGGCCGTCCCTGGCACTAGGGCCACATGGAGCTCCAGCATGGATGAAGGCTGGAGCATGCAACAGTTGCCAGGGGGGTTTCCATCATGTCTGGAAAGTTGTGGAGCTGGCAGATGGGGGTTAACTGGACCTGCTGAAGAGGAGCCCTGCGGGTCTGAGGTCTGCGAGATGGGTAAGGCTGGTTCTGCCACTGAAGTTATGGGTCAACTCTCCAGGGGAGCCTAGCTCACTGGGTACCAGTTGGGGGCAGAGGTCCCTTAAGCTTGGTTCCAGGGGTAGGTGCTGGAAAAACTTGTCCCACATTCTGACAAGGCCTGAGGCCTTGCCCTGCTCCCATCACATGTGGATCCCGCCTTGCAGTCTGGGTACAGAACTCCTAGCACTTTTCTGCTCTCTGTGTCTGTCTTCACTGAATGCATCTTAATAATCAGGAGACAGGTCCATGCACTCAAAAACCCAGCTCCTGGGTTGAAAGGGCTAATCTTTCAGTGAGGTGGCTGCATGGTTGAGAGAACAGGGGCAGGTGAAATGGATGTAAGCCTCTAACCTCCTCATGCTCTGTGCAGATGACCTGGATGGGCTCCTGGGAGAGCTGCCGGAGGACTTCTTCTCCATGTCCACCATGGAGAGCAACAGGTGACCCCTGTGCAGCAGCAGTGTACGAGACAGACAGCTGGTTGGGTGCCCAGCCCACAGTAGGAACTGGCCTGAACTGGAGTGGAGCAGATCAAGGGCACTGACCTGGGAGGTGGCTCTCAGGCCTTTGGCCTGTCCTTTTTTGGGTTTCTTTTCCATGTTTTGCGTTCTGTCCTGCATCTGTGCTGCTAGCAAGAGCCCTGGACTGACATGAAGTGATGGCAGCTTGTTATCCCCACGCTCACTCTGCAGGGCAATGGCAGCATTCCCTGCTGTCCCGTGATGCTCACTGCCCCCTGTAGTTGGCTCCTGCATTAAATGTACCTTGTGACACTACTATGGTCTCCCTCTCCTGCCACTGCTCTGCTAACTCCACCTGCATATCTCTGTCTCTGTCTCTCTCTCTCTCTCGAATCATGCAAAACCAGGCCCCTCACAGCTGGGAGAATGCAATTCTGTGTGGGACAGCTGCACCAGGGGCTGCAACCAGAGGCTTCTTTTAACTGGAACTTGTCTCCCATAAGGCTGCATCATGGAGCTGGCTAGGTTGTATGGGGAAGGGAGGAGCCCAGGCCTTACTCCTCCCATTGATGTCATTTGGGGGGTGGGGTGTGGACTGCAGGATCAGGCCTGAAATGATCAGCTCCCATCAGATAGATTGGGAGTCAAGGCTGCTTTGTACCTTGTCTGTGGGGGATCTGCAGGCCACATTCTTCAAAGGACTGTGCCCAATGCAGACCTCAGAATGGCTCTGGAGGTGGGGCTACTAACCAGGCCACCTGGAGTCCCTGCTCCATGCTCCAGACTGCCTGGATTACCAAGGCCAGACCTGCATGCTCAGGTATCCTACCTTTCTGGCATTTTATTTGAGCTTACAGCTCTATTCTAAGTTGCTCATTCCCTAAGCACTACTTGTAAAGGGATGATGTCTCATCTAGCCTTTAACTCTTTGTTTGCTTCCATGATCCATGCTGGGCAGCTGTGTTAAGTCCAGCCTGACTAGCAGATCGTGGGGGTGTTTAGATTACAGGCATGCATTAGGGCCACTAATTCTTGGAAAATAACTTGGGAAATAATTGTTAGGAACTTAAAAGATGCAACATGGATGTTTCTTCTGCTCTTAGCTGTGGGAAAAGGCCAGGCTGGTTCTTCAGTTGATGTAAACTGTAACCATCATGACTTCAGTGGAGCGTTGCTGAAAATCTGTCCCTGTAGGACCTGAATTGTTCCTTCAGTTTATGAACACTGACAGGTGGTGGCTCATGAAGGCAAGACGAGACCCCACGTGCTACTGCTCAAGATGTGACTGGTCTATTAATGCAACACCCTTGGGGCAGCCGCTTTTCTTCCCCAGCCCCCAGCCGTGATCTGTTTTAAAGCTGTTGTTTAATGATTTTTGAGCCCATTTATCAGCAGTGATAGAGCTTAGAACTTGACTTGTAAGTTAACTCTAAGATGAAGCTAACTGCCTCCCTGCCCCCACCCCTAAACACTTCCTGTTTGGCACTTTGCCTCTTATTCATCAAAGCTCCTGGTTCCCTATGTTGGCACTTTCCTGTACTCATGCTTGATGGAAAGAAGCCAGATCAATACCTCCATGTTGGGCAGCTTTAAGGCAGGACTCTGCAGTGGGTTCAGCTGTGCACTTGCTTCCAACAGTGCAGGAGGGGGCCTGACAGGCCCCGCAGGGTGGATCTGAGGAACACCTGTCCATGGGCGGCTGGTGCCACCTTAGCTGGGGGGCGCATGGCCCCCCCC